ATCTGCATACTCTTCAGTACTAAATCCCATAGGCATATTGACAAACGGCAAAATTGGAATAAAATTATTACGCTTTTTGATAAAAACACGGAATAACTCCAGTTTGTTATTTCTTTGTCAGAACTTTCAGAGTGACTGAGCATAGCCTACTTCTTTAATTGATATCAAGTAATATTATTTAACTAAAAAATGTTATAAAATCTAACAAGCGAGCTTTTTTCATTGAAACTTTATTACCTTCGCCACCCCAGATTCAGCCGCCACTGAATAGTTTTTATGAATAATTTTTATTCAATCTAATAAAGCTCAAAAAGTTTAATATCTGTGAAACATTTCGTTAATTTATCTACCGTTTCTAACTTTTGATTAAAAAAATATATTCAGAAGCGTATTTTTGACACCCAATATATCAAAAACGGAGCGTTTAAAAGTATATGTTCATAGGACGTTTTTTATTATTTCAACGAGTACTATACGCTGTTAAATTTTCCGTATTAAAAAAAACGGACCACCCTGTATATTGAGTACATCATCATCAAAGTGTTGTTGAAATTCCTTAGCTTTAAATTGATCGAAAATGTTTGGTGTGAATTTTCTTACCGAATACGGAAATTTTTCTCAAACACGAATATTCAGAAAATTCGTGTTTTCGAAAAAATTTCCGGGAATAATTGAAGCACTCGTGATATTATGAGTGATAATTACCATAGCAGCGAAATATCAGCTGAAAGCTATTTGACATGAAATTAGTTGATATCTGGATTTCTGAAAGTTTGATTGCAATTTTCGCAATAAACTATCAAAAGCAGCAGCGATAGTGAGTTTTTGAAAATGTCCATACTAAATTCCCAATGTAGCAGTTACTAGGTATAGGTATTCTGTTCAAATTTCAGTATTTGATACAAATAAGAATTATTAAAGAAGAAATTGTATTCCACAAAGAAATATAATATGGAAATGTGTCTCATTGAATTGTTATTCTGAAAAAACAGTATTTTTCGGACTTGTTACGTAAATTAGTAATAATTTTATTCTCATCTTTGGCGCTTGACCAAAGTGCTCACCAAAGGATACGGGCCAGTCCGCCCCTGCCCCTGTCCATAATGACCGAACCCCGTATTTACTACCTACCACCCATAAGGATATTATCATTATCTGAATTCTAATGCAAGGTCCCCACTATCTATACATACATACATACCTACCAACCTAATCGAAAATTATAGCTTTACAAATTAGTACACTCAACGTTGATAACAGCATTTCAATATCACTTGTATTCGGTCGCTTATCAGCTCTTAGTAACGTGAAAATAACCCATTAGTCATGTCAGGACGACTTGTGTTCCGTTGAAAATATTCAGATATCCCAATATCTCTCCACAGACCGAGAGAACGATAATGTTGAGTGTTGAGTCACCGTTTATTATTGGACATAAATGTAGGAATATTTACATATCTGCTGAATTCGTTTTCAGAATCGAACGTTATCGATTAACTTTATTGAATTTCTTCATTTCACTCGAATTTATTGAAAAACATGTTGACAAATCTCTTTTTAAATTCACCTATCGATATCTAGATCAATAATATTCGAGTTCATTGGTTAAGATATTCTTAGGTATTTACATATCTGCTGAATTTTTTTTTCAGCTTCGAACGTTATCGATTAACATCATTGAATTTCTTCATTTTACTTGACTTTATTGAAAAACATGTTGACAAATCTCTTTTTAAATTCACCTATCGATATCTAGATCAATAATATTCGAGTACATTGGGTAAGATATTCTTAGGTATTTACATATCTGCTGATTTTTTTTTTCAGATTCGAACGTTATCGATTAACATCATTGAATTTCTCCATTTCACTTGAATTCATTGAGGAACATGTTGACAAATCACTTTTTAAACTTACCTATCGATATCTAGATCAATAATAATCGAGTGCATTTGTAAAGATATTTTCAAGTAGTCTATAACCAAGGCATGATACTTATACATTTTCAGTAGGCAGGATATTTTAATGAGTATGACAATCTCAGATATTATCATATGTATTACCACAAGTGATACTATTTTGCCAGAAATATTGTTATGATAGCTTGTTGCCTAATAATTTCGCGAATGACATTGTTTATCAAAACTTTCGAGCCGGCTATGAATTCAGCCTCGGCAGTCAATCTACTACTTTGCTGCCTAGTTAAACAAATAACTATACAGCCTAATCACCTTCTTTACCACCCGCCGGACTACTTCACATCCCGCCTTGCCACTTTACCGCCCGCTGTACTCATTTATCGCCGGGAGTATTGGTAACTCCTGATAAGTATTTCTGTGTAATTCAGGACATTTACTTTCAGCTAATACTACAGTTCTCTTGATTGATAATAGTCTACAACAACAAAATTTTCTGAATTACTATGGTAAAGTCGATTGCATCAATGCTATTCCTCATTGCAGCCATGATGTATTTATCGTTTATTAGAGGTGAAGAGTGAAGAATTCACAATGAAAAATCAAAAATACCTACTGTATACCACGTGCATATAATTATGTATTTCCCGAGATTTCCGGCGTAACTTGCTTATTTACACGATAGGGCCATAAACGCAAATTTTTTGGAAGTTTCAAGCTCAGAGTTTATACAAGTATACCTCTCCTATACATTTCAATTTTCATTTCAATACTGAACATATTGGTAAGTTATATCTTTATATCATAATACATCATATTATTTATCCGATTCGAGAGAGAATGTCAATTCCCCATTTCAGAGGATTTTTATTTTTCATGCTCTCCTTCTAGATGCTGAACAGATACTCAATGTTCGACATGGCATATAGCCAGGAGAGTAGTTGTTTTCTAGTGAGTAAACCAAGAAAGAATTGATATTTTCTTCTAATAGAGAATGTGAATTCTCAATGTATTTCTTCATTTTCATGTTCATAATTTATTTATCCGAGTATATTCCTTTTCAATACTTTCCCCCAATCAAGGGGTTCAATCTTTAACGATGGAAAATTGTTATTTCCATAGACCTTCAATCTCAAATTGCTGATTAGGTTTTCTCAATTCAGAATTTCTTTCCATGTCCTGTATATGATGAATATCAATTTGTCATACAACCAAAATAGATAAATTTTCAACAATGGTTTTGCTAGGTTGACATAAAGAGTAATAAATTCGCGAATATAGAAATTAGTACTAAGTAAGCAACAAATTATAGTACTATCGCGTGTCTGAAATATTGAAGTGGTTCTGCTAAGTTTATATTGTGGTGACAAACGGCCGATGGGCAAATAACGGATTCGGTTGTTATAATCCTCAGCTCCGCCTCGGTTTACAATATTCAACCTCATCTGTTATTTGCTACATATCGGCCTTGTAACGTTATCCACTATTGTTTTTGCATAGGCAATTATTCTCACTTTGTCTGTCTTTCGTCATTGTCTTGTCAGCAGAGATGAAGAAAAAACAGGTTTCCTAGTGACCCAACCCTGTATTCATGAAATGTCAAACACCGAATAATGACACCGGCTACCTCAACATTTTCTGACGTCTAAAGATAGAACATTATGTTTATTGTAATCTTTGTTGTACTGCTCGAGATTTTAATTATCATGCCGCCTTTCTGAGGTCAACAAACAAGCTAGGACAATAAGCATGATAAAACACATAAATAAGTATATGTATGAAAAAAGTATCCCAAGACAGATTAGCAAAGGTTAAGGCCACACAAAGCAGCTCATTGACCATACTGTATGGATCAATACCACTCTCCACTCACAAGGCACTGTTGCACTATGCATTCACCCATTCCACCCCTCGTGAGTCTCTTTGTCAGCTAAAATTGGGGGTGGTTGGATTCCATTCGGGTGGTTTGCAAGTTTCTGTAGTTTCACTCATCAGTCTCATCATCCCAAAAGATACGATGCGAATGATGCACAACCTGTACATTGTTCAGTCATTATCGACAGAACTGCTTTCAATCCAGTAATAGTATCGACGTCAAAGCAGGTTTTCATAGAAGGCATTTAGCAACAGATATTTCGAGATATTCATACCTACTTGCTTCAGGCTCCAGGATTGAAAGATCAAAACTGGTTCCAATAGTGCCGTTACTTGAACAACCTACATTGCTCCATAATGCACAAAAAATATCCACATAAGAGTACCTACCTACAGAATAATTGAAAGGACATTTTCGCGCTTTTTGAGTGAAAAATTGGTTTATATACCAGGTTTATATCTACCGACCGCGTGACATATGTGAAAAAACTATCAGTATTTGATTGGTTTATTCAAATGGCCTTGAAATGTTGCCAGTGGAAATGGATTCTGTGGATACAGATAGCCCTTGTATTCTACAACCACAGGCACCACAGCCACAAAGATTAATTTTCATCAAACCTAGTGGAATTTGAGACTGATTATAATACCTACTAGGTGGTATCTTATTATTGGACAAAAGTAGGTAGGACATCCTACCTAAATGTAAATATAGTTGTTTAGAGATAAGTAGGTATGCTTTATGCTGACTGGGACGAACAGTTTGGATCATTGTGAACATTTGATACATCAGCTTATAATGAAAAATACCAAGCCGGTAGTGGCAAAATAATCGCTGAGGTGTTATCGCGACCGCAAATTTATAATTTATTTTCTACACGTCGCATTCGCATAGCAGCCATCTTGTTTTTGGACCGGCTACACTTTTGTCAAAAAATATAAGTCAGTGGTTCAAATTGTGAATGAATTGGACGATTATAATACTCATGTCCAATGTTGATATCACACGTTCGAAATCGATGGATGATACGATGCTGAACAAAGGCCACTCTATATAACTTCTATATAAGGAGAACCAAAATGTGACCAAGCCCTTGTGTTCTTTTGTTTGCAAAATGTTATTAAAATGAAAAGTAGACGTCAGAAATTGTGGAAATATTCAATATTTCCTAAATTCAAAGCACTTTGTTGTCAACTTTATGTACTTACTTCGAAATTCTCTGACTTAGCCCACACATTTCCGTCATGTCCAGCGATAGCGGCTTTTGTTACGCATCTTGAGGCCAAGAGTTGTTTGTCTACGTAATCCTGCCAGCTCATATTGACTAAAATTTATTAAAAAATCACTTCACACCCCGAGCTACTCACTAATGATTAAAACTGTTAGTGCACTTGCCGCACGACCAACTCAAGCCGAATACTTTTGTCTATTCTATTCTATTTCGTATTTCGTCTGGCAGGAGCAGGTTTACACTCGACTACAGTGGCAGCGGAAGCTAAACTTGACAAGTGCGACTGCGCCATGCCATGACTGCGCTTTCTGAAAGGATTGAATTTGAATAGCCAACCCATCAAAAACTGACATGCGCGGGAATTTCAAATCTCACAGTGAAATAAAATGCACCATGCTTTGAATTTTGCTGCAAATTCATTCGCATTCAGAACCAAATGAATTCGTAATGACATCAGTTATCGAAATCCGTACACTACACTGTTCTGTCCAACGGAACTAGCATTTGAGGTCTGTGTTCTGTGGTGACAGGGCAGCCATCATTTTAGACACAATAGTTAGATATTGAAATCTACGGCGAGCACCAGCGGAGTAGTCGAATCTAGGGTCCCTTGATGTAAATTGACGTATTTGTCATCTTAACAGGGTACGGACAGATCATAGCTGCATTCTTTTTCAATGATCTAGAGACTTTAGTTTTGTCTACTGGCATCCCTGACATTGCTGTCACGTCACATCCATGGGCGCAACAGAAAAACATTCAAAATTTTAATAATAGGTATGTACAGGGTATTTACTTGTTGAGGAAGATCATATGGCGAACGAGTTTTGTAATTATGATCCGATTCTATCCAAAATTGGAAGGTATCTGGGGATTTCCGGGGTCGGAGATTATAATTATTTCGTCAAAATTGGGATATTCAAGATTCTGATGGATCCAATATGGTGGACGAGTTTTGTAACTAAGATCCGATTCTATTCAAAATTGTATCTGGGGGTTTTCGGGGTAGGAGATAATGATTGTTTCGTCAAAATTAGAAAATTTAAGATGACGGACCCAATATGGCGAGAGACATTTCTAATTATGATCTGATTCTATTATATAAAGATTGGTATCTGGGGGTTTTCGGAGTCGAACTTTATGATTTTTTTGTCAAAATTGGGAGATTCAAGATGTAATAAATAGTTGTTTGAAAAATCAATTGTAGATACTTAGTCGAATTTAGGAGAAGTAGAGAATGAATAGTAGTTTAAAAAAACTGAAGAGACAAATTGCCAAGCTGAGAAGGAGTAAAAAAAAAGAATAGTATTTTGAAAAACATGAAAAAACTCCAGAAACATGCTTTTATGGACAGCCGAACTTAAAAGAAGTAGAAAATGAGATAAATGAAGGGTGCTGGTGAATATTTAACTAAAAGAATATTTTCTAGAAATATTTCGCATAGCAAAACAACGTTTGCCCAGTCAGCTAGTAATCTAGTAATGATATTTATTATTCGTTCCCAATACAATTTGTATTTTGTTGAAAAAAGAAAATATTGACTGTGTCAAATGATTTCTGAATGTTCATGATTATGAAATTCAAGAAAATAAAAAGATTTCACGATTGAATAAGTTATATACATAGTGTGATATTATAGTCACTCCATAAATTCTTCTCCACATAACATGAGTACAGTAGTTTAGATACCCGAGGTTTTCACCATTTCTCAATCATAAGGCTCAGCTCATTCAGCTCTTAGATGAACTGCTGCTCAGCTTGAAATCAGAATCCAATCAGTCAATTCAGTCAACCCTGGTATACAGTCTAAGAACAGTATCTTTTGGTGAAGTATATAGAGCTTTCAGTACAATTTATTTGTTCCCTACCTCGCAAAGATTATGCTGGGGTAGTAAACTCTAAAACTAACTAAACTCATTTATATCTTGGTATAGTTGAATCAGGAATTCCATATGAAAATCCCGTATGATACGCCAATGACCTCAATATAACCTAAAAAACAACAAATGTCAAAAATCTAGTGTTTATCCCCAGAATTGAATAAGGATGGAACTATATAACTGTTTCACAAACACTTTAGAGTGAGAGGAGACGAGGATCTGTCTGTACCCTGTTAAGATGACTTTAACGTCAATTTCCATCAAGGGACCCTAGTCGAATCTAGGGTCCCTTGATGGAAATTGACGTTAAAGTCATCTTAACAGGGTACGGACAGATCCTCGTCTCCTCTCACTCTAAAGTGTTTGTGAAACAGTTATATAGTTCCATCCTTATTCAATTCTGGGGATAATCACTAGATTTTTGACATTCTTTGTTTTTTTGGTTATATTGAGGTCACTGGCGTATCATACGTAATTTCCATATGGAATTTCTGATTCAACTATACCAAGACATAGATGAACAATCCTCTAGTTTCAGAGTTTACTACTCCAGAATAATGTTTGCGATTCAGGGAACATATAAATTGTACCTGAAAGCTTAATATATTTCACCAAAAGAGACTATTCTTAGACTGTATACCAGGGTTGACTGAATTGACTGAATGAATTCTGATTTCAAGCTGAGTAGTAGTTTTGTCAATGAGCTGAATGAGCTGAGCCTTATGATTGAGAAATGGTGGAAACCGCGATGTGGGTATCTAGACTACTGAACTCATGTCATGTGTGCTAAATATATTTTCAGAAATCCAACTCGGAGAAGAATTTATGGAGTTACTAATATCACACTATGTTTAAAACTTCGTCTAGGACCAAAAGTAGGCTGATAAAAATTAATATGTAAGAAAGAAAGGATAGAATATACTTCACCCCCATGTTATACATATGCATTTTCAGTCTCTTTTGAATGAAATGTCATTTTCGAATAATTTATTGATGAAAGTGACAAAGAAGTAGGTATACGCTAAGTATACGCAGTATAACTTATTATAGGCACGTTATTTTCATTTCCGTCGACTTCGTATTAACGACTAAGTTTAATGTATATGAAATCGTTCATTAATGACCCCTATTAATGAACGATTTGTCTATTAATACACGATTGTTTTATAGGCAACCAAACATACACCGCGTGCATTCATTGTGTATGCTATAACTTACGGAATGTACATTTAAATCGAAAATATGGATTTCATCGAAGATTTTCTGTTAACGGGTTCGCCTTGCCTTCCAAGTTTCTGACACGATTTTTCCCTGTTTTCTAACACAAGGAATTTATTTCCTATGTTGATCATTTCGACAAATGTCAATTGTCACTAATGTCAGTGACAAGGCTACTGGGTGATTCTTAGCAGTTTCCGGATGGATGATGAATTCGCGAACCAAGTTTTCTTCATTGCAGGAGAAATGAGAAATATAGTCGACGGAAAAATTTTGTAACCAACTTGTATATTAAAAGGCGATTAATGATCTCAAACATTAACGCGCTCGCTTCGCTCGCACGTTAAAATATCTCGATCTTTAATCCCCCTCATTAATACACTAGTTGGTTAAATAACTATTATTGGCAGAGTAATAATTATATAAACTAATGTCTTTTGACGAAACAATCATCATCTCCTACCCCGAAAATTCCCAGATACCAATTTCGAATAGACTCGGATCTTCATTACAAAACTTGGATCCGTCATCTTGAATATCCCAATTCTGACGAAATAATTATAATCTCCGACCCCGGAAATCCCTAGATACCAATTTTGATTTTTTGAATAGAATCGGATCATAATTACAAGTTTCGTTCGCCATATTGGATCCGCTATCTTAAATTTCCCAATTTTGACAAAAAATCATAAGGTTCGACCCCGAGAACCCTCAGATACCTCTTAAATATAGAATCAAATCATAATTAGTTTATTTTGCTATATATTGGATCCGTCATCTTGAATTTTCCAAGTTTGACGAAACAATCATCATCTCCAACCCCAGAAACCCCCCACATACCTTCCAATTTTGAATAGAATTGGATTATAATTACAAAACTTGTTCGCCATATGATCTTCCTCAAAAAAGTAAATACCCTGTACATACCTATCACTAAAATTTTGAATGATTTTCTGTAGCGCCCATGGATGAGACGTGACAGCAATGTCAGGGATGCCAGTAGACAAAACTAAAATCTCTAGATCATTAAAAAAGAATGCAGCTATGATCTGTCCGTACCCTGTTGAGATGACTTTTATGTCAATTTCCATCAAGGGACCCTAGTCGAATCTACCCAAGCATATTTGTCATATATTTGATTTATTGACTTGCTTGCTTTAACAATGCTAACAAATCCGAAATCGATATCATGATAACTTGTTTCGTTCCAATTGGCCGTGAACAGGAGATTGAATCAGAACAAACGCGTGCTTTTACGATAATGGACTATTTCTCAATCGGCTGATTTCGGGTCCTCAGATGGTACACGCCCTAGAATCTGTGTGAAGATGAAGAATCCTTTCGCATTAAGATTGATAAACTCGCTGAAATGACCGCATTATTAACTGGAAGTATTTGTGATAGTAACAAAATATAAAATCTCAAATCCGAAAAATGGAATTCATGAAAAAATAGAAAGCAATCGAACGTACGATTTCAATACTATACCAACTACCCGAAATAAAGCATCGTGCAATAGGACGTTATACAACAAAATCTCTCAACAAGTGATCAGTGTTGTGAGATGTGCTTCCATTAGTTCCATCCACGATGTTCCATCTATTTTTTTCAAGTGATTAACTGTTTGGGCTGCTAATGATTCGCTATTAGCGATCGCCAAGGCATCCTAAAACTCATAGATTGAAAGTTAGACGTATGGTTAGACGTCGTTTTCTCGTACACGGGGTATTTGTTGCGCCCTGTCTCTAGTTGTATCAAACCTTGAAGTTATAATGTTATAAAGTTACATGAGACAGCCTGGGCAGTTTATCAATCTGGATAATTATAAATATCTATAATTTCAATGAATCATCAATTTAATGCATTATGTGTTGTAATCTTATTGATTCAGTTTTGAATCCATCAAAAATTCAAGAATTATTTCTTCCATGTAGCTAAACCCCGCGCGTGTGTAACTTTGTCCACTTCGTAGGTAATGTGCGTTTTAAGAGGAGAGTTTCAACCAAATCGTCATGCAGGCCTTTACTATTTTCTGCTTTTTGGACTTATGAATGATTCAATTGAAAAACTAATTGAATCATCGTAAAAAAGAAGGTTGGGACTAGGGTCCGGTTATCATACGGAGTCGAAACTCATTCATTTATAGAAGATACAGATTTTTGAAAAACGTAAACATTGAAAATTTTTTGTCTCAAATTGAAATATTTTTGATCTCAGTACAATTGTTGGAAATTCAGCGAGATGTCACAGAAATATCAGCTCCTGAAATGTTTCCAGTTGGACAAAAAGCAACAAAAACGATTATTCTGTCAACAAAATATCCATTCATCCCAGCTGATCTCGGAAAACTCCATTTCTTGAAAGAATATAATGCGGGAAACTATGATGTGGTAGTTCAGGCACTACCTGATAGATGGCAGTGTTCGAAATGACAGACAGCGGCAGAGAGGAATGGTGCATTGTATTGCGAGAAGATGGCGCTTAGGAGAGATGATGAATTCAAACCCGTTTACACCATTGCCAATGTTACACATATTACTCAAGACATATTATGAAATCTATGTGACGTGAATACAGAGGTTATTATTCAACTACCTGGGCATATTTCAAGTCCAGTTTTCGTCTAATAAAATTTGAAAAAATCTGACCTAAAACATTTACACTGACCTATTATAATAATTAATAATGTATTTGCTTACCTTTCCTTTCAGGCCTGAGCCGAAATCGGTGGTCGCTAACTGCAGCAAATAACAAACAACCAAACAATTAGAAAAAAAAAAACTATTATTTTTTAGAGAACTATCTTTACCAGTTCTTTAGGAAAACCTGAAACTACATTATGTCAAAAGACTCACGCGAAACAGAAAACTCAAATTCTAAGCACATGATTTCAGCTTCAACAAGTATATTAATTACCTCAGCATCTCAAGATTCAATATTAATCTTGCCCTACCACAACTTTTCTTGATTTGTTTTAAAAAAAATAGATAATTTTCCTGGATCGATTTACCAATGATTTAATTAATAAATTAATTGGGAAAATAATAGTGATAATGATAAATCAAACATTTTTATTCTAATACAAAACTGAAAAGAAAAATTATTACCAACATTATTTTGATGTGTATTATTGCTTTACTATCTACAAATGAAATGACACAAGCAACATCTTATAAATATTCAAAATTTCGTGACACTATATTATATAACCCCAGAAAAACCTCCCTATAGGTATGCACGATTCTTCGAACTTTATAGGGATTCCCTTTCGTGCGCTCGGAGAGATGAAAAAAGTAACTCAATTTGTATTTACCCGTTTTCATACAATTTTCATTTGTTTTTGTATCCCATCAGATAATTACAGTTTTTAGGATTTCAAAAGCTTGCTTCAGTAAACTTCGAAATTTTCCTTTGGTAGGAGAGTTCTGGAGAACACAAAAATGTTTATTAAATTAGACACTGGACCATGAATTGCTGATTATTAAGTTTCAAAATATGAATATGCATACAGTGTGTGCGATTTCAACAAGCAACACTCCAAATTTGGAACACATCAAGTGGTTTTCAAAATCAAAAATTCCAAAATATAGAACGGACCTCTATTCGAAAAAAATGTGGACAAATCGGAAATATTCGCATTTTCAAGGCCTACTATTGTTTGTTGAAGGGGTCAAAATTTCAGAAAAAACTATTACGCATTTTTTTTAAACAGTGACTAGCCTATTAGATTCAGGCATAGCTGAAATACCCCGAAATTTGAATGCAAAATCTCATATAGATATTTTCATGGACGATGCTCTTCTGAAATATCATCAATTGTTCTTGTTCCTCCCTTGGCAGTACCCGCGAGATTATTCCGTTGAGTTGAGGCTTCGCGACCCTTTGTAGACACTTTGGAGACGTGCAGAACATCTCTTTCCAAAAACTCGTTCATCCAACGAACAGCGAGGATCTGGAACACATTGCCAAGGGAGGTGTTCCCCGAGGCATATAACTTCCAGAAATTAAAGAAGACCACCAATTTCTACCTTATTTCCATTGATTCTCACGATGGTCTCTGAAAATTACAGGATATCCCTTTTTGTAGGAACCAGAACATCAAAATCCAAGGAGTCAGTCAATGGAGGAACACATCGGATACTTTACATAGTTTCAACTTCTACCGGAAGATCTCTCCAAAAATTAATTAAATTGAAGTTGAGAATTATTTTATTATGATCCATAGCTTTTTTCCAGGAAATATAAATATTGATAATCAATTCGAGGGAATATTCTCAATAAACAGTTTGAATCGCGGCACATTTGGATATTCCTTGTTTCAACTCGATATCATATGACGGAAGTCTGTCCAGAATCACAGCAACAAATAAATAGCTGTGCAAAGGGGACATTGCGAATATCCAAACGAGCCGCGATTTCAACTGTGCTAAGTTAGTGGCAGAGCGTCAATATTTCTGAGAATATTTCACCCCTCTCTGAGAATAATATCCGATGAACCAGTGTAAAACTCAACATGTGGATTTGAATATTTATAGTGCAAGTTCCACAGTGGTCCATCGGATATTATCTTTGAGAGGGGCGAAATATTCTAAGAAATACGGACGCTCTGCCACGAACTTAGCACAGTTTGAATCGCGGCATGTTTGGATATTCGCAAAGGGGACATTATCCCATTTAATTTCCTGTCCGGAATAACGGCAGCAAATAACTCGCTGTGCCGTAGATTTGGCTCAAATTGAGGGGTGACACAGTTAGGTTTTTGAGACCTAGCATTCAATTGTTATCGGATGACATCATTTCAATCTCGTTATCAATACGCGAAATCAAGTGCAAATTACCGCACAGGCAAGTGCCGTTCGATAAAATACAATGTATTTACATGCCTTCCGGACATATAATATATCATTTCGTTATATCAACTCCTTGGTTTTAATACAGTGAATTGAAAAAAATAAAAATATAAAAATTTGTTATTGAATAACTAACACATTAGATTTCGCATTCAAATGTCCTATGGGGGTATGCCTGAATTGAATAGGCTAGTCAATGTTTAAAAAAATTTACCTAATAGTCGTTTTTGAAATTTTGACCCCTTCAAGAAACTAAAATAGCCTTTGAGAATCTGAATGTTTTAGATCTGTCCACATTTTCGAATAGAGCTCGTTGATTACAATATTATGAAATTTTTGATTTTTGAAATCGGTCAACGAGTTCCAAACTAGGAGGGTGTTGCAGGTTGGAATCGCACACACTGTATACAGTGTGACCCACTTCTAATGGAACCACCCCTGTATCTTACGTAATCGTTGGGTAAGGATCCTGAAATTTGCTGGAGCGAGAGATATACCAAAAATGCACTCTATGACCGAGTTGGGTCATCTTCAGTGATATACACTGCTCACCAACAGCCATGAAACTACCCCAATTTCCGGAAAATGATATTAGGAGTCAAAATAGGTCGAAAATCACTTCAGATTTGGAATCAGGACGCCCAATTTACTAACTATTCAAATTTTTCCTGGAAAATTTTCAGTTCGGAAAAATGAAATTTTGTCGCATTTTTTATGGAAGCACCCCCGTATCTCACGTAATTGACTTATCTTTGGACTCTCTCTTCCTCCGGCAAATTTCAGAACCCTACCTCAATAATTACGTGAGATACGGGGGTGCTTCCATAAAAAATGCGACAAAATTTCATTTTCCTGAACTGAAAATTTTCCAGGAAAAATTTGAATAGTTAGTAAATTGGGCGTCCTGATTCCAAATCTGAAGTGATTTTCGATCTATTTTGACTCTTAATATCATTTTCCGGAAATTCGGAAATTGGGGTAGTTTCATGGCTGTTGGTGAGCAGTGTATATCACTGAAGATGACCCCACTCGGTCATAGAGTGCATTTTTGGTATATCTCTCGCTCCAGCAAATTTCAGGATCCTTACCAAACGATTACGTAAGATACAGGGGTGGTTCCATTAGAAGTGGGTCACACTGTATATGTATAGCGATAAAATAACATGAATTACTTCTTTATGCTTTCTTAAATTGATATATGAAATCAAAACCAATCATAAATAAAAATAAATTTATTATCAATCACTTTAGAGGTAAAATAACGAATAAATAATTATTAACCCTATCATTATTGAGGAAATGGAATTGTGGAAATGTAAGGTTTCAAAAGAAGCAAAACCACCAACTTGTAATTAAAATGGAATTTAGTTCTTTATTTCCAAATTATGGTGTCCACAGGTATTGATGTTTCCTGTAAAAATGAGAAACAGCATATCAGACACTACATACCTCATTCCACATCATAAGTGATTGTAGGTACCAAATTAAAAACAAAACGGTAATGTCATGGAACCATGAGGATGAAAATATAGGGTATTTTAGTTTTCAACTGCCAAATCTCAAGAGGACATAGTGGTCATCAACAAAAAATTAAAGAAAATCCTATAAATTTTGGTCTGAAAACGCTCAATTTCTGCTGTTTAAATAAAAAAACTATTCATATCTCGGGAATAATCCAATGTTATTGAAACTTGGTTGGTTCATTGATGTGAAAGACATATCTTGATGTGCTCTATTCACTCTATGTTCCACGAAAACTAGTTTTTCGGCAAGTGCTCACTTCCCGGACGCTTTTTCTTTGAAAAAGTTGATTTTTTCCGACCGGGAAGTGTCACATCGTTGTTGTCACTGTAACTATGAAAATCTTGGTAGATATGGTTTTGATAAATGCAGATGATAATGCTGGGTTTATAGATTCAACTGAACTAAGAATTAAACTAACAACTATGAATTTAAAAAGTTGAATTCAAGGAAATATCTATGAGGGTTTATACATTTACATCTGTCATTTAAATTAAGAATTAAGAATTACAAAGTTGGCCAACTTTCAACTTAACAACTAAGAATTAGGAAACTCTGGAGGCAGAACATGAAGATTGGATTTGTTATTGTTCAAATGGAGATTGGTGATATTTAATTGGAATATTTTTTATGCATTCATGATTTGTGGAGACCAAAATTACTTTTTAACAACATTTTGACCTTTAGTCATATGTATAAACACCCTCATGATTATTAATTGATAATTCCCAATTGTTAGTTTGATTGAATCTATAAACCCAGCATAATAATTACCATTCGCGATAGAAAATAACACGTCACCTCATCTGACGGCATCAACTGGAACACTTCTGACTGGTTTGTTTTGATGCTATGACCAATAGTCACAAACAAAAAATAAATGTGAACCAATGAAAACAAAGTGAACAGGCCGCTTTGACAGCTTTCAAGAACTCCGATAGGTGGCGTAGGCTTATTTTCTATCGCGAATAGCAGCGAAATATCGGCTGACAGCTATTTGACATGGAATTATTTGACATTTTGATTTTTGAAAGTTTGAGTAATTATCAATAAACTATAGAAAGCAGCTGCGATAGTGACTTCGAAAATGTCGATGAGAAATTTCCAATGGAACAGTTAGTAGGTATAGGTATTCTGTTCAAATTTCAGTATTTGATACAAATGTAAATTAATAAAGAAGAAATTGTGTTCAACAAAGAAATAATATGGAAATATATCTCACTGTTTTGTTATTCTACATGGTTGCCGAAAAAATAGTGTACGCAACACGTCCACAAACAGTTTTTTTTGACTCGCAGACTTCCAGGATTCGCCTACGGCTCGGCCTAGAATTTTGTCTGCTGGTCCAAAAAAACAGTATTTTCTGGACTTGCTACGTGAATTACTATTTACTCCGAGCGGCATAGAAAGTGGGTTTTTATGACACTCAACAGGGCAGGAAAGGTGTACTTTATCTGCCTAGTCAAGAAAACTTTGTTGTTATGCAACATTCCAAGTAATTTGAGTGAAATTGGTGATTAAAAATGGAGTTTTCAATGCAAAAATTACTGCGCTACGCTCGGCTATGAACTATCAGCCGCGGCAATCAACTTTACTACTTTGCTACCTAGTAAATGAAATAACTATCATTTGTCAAAATTATGAGAACAAATCTAGTCCGTCCGGACTGAATGCGTGCGTTAAAATTAGCTGATGAAAGGACCCCACACCGCAACAATTTGGGAATTTGGCATTCGGTGAATTTGCTCGAAATTCCGATATATTGTAAAAATCGTGAGGCTGATCAGATGACTCAATTATCAACGATCTGAACTGATTATACAGGCTACTGAAGTTGACTTTTTCAAAATTACAAATGGCCATTGTGAAGTTTTCTTTTTGAATACCAAAACCAAAACGAATACGTTTTGTTTGCTCATGTGGCCGGTGGAAACCTACTATAGACTTCAATGATACCTGCACGTACTCACGATATACAGAGTGGTCCAAAAATAGCAAATGGTCCAATTATTTCCAAAAAAGTAAGCGGTGAAAATTCATTCATTTTTGGACATTTTGTAGTATAAATATCAACATTGATTCAAGATAATTGCAATGTTTTAGTTTCCATGAAACCTCATCCGTCCTGTATTCATATCCATCAAATGATTGGAATCCCATAATACTTGGTGAGTGACTTGATAATTTGTGATGACAAACCTTTCTGCAAATACCTGAAGTATACAGAGTGGTTCCCAAAATAGTGAATACTGCTAAAGGTTTCCAGATCCAATTCTATACAAATCTGCTGAGATATTTTCTACAAATTGATGTAAAATATTCCGAATATAATGCAAATATCCAAAAAGGAATGAATTTGTACTGCTCACTTTTACTTTTTTGGAAAAAATTGGTCCATTTGCTTTTTTTGAGCCAACTCTGTATATATCGTGAGTACGTGCAGGTATCATTGAACTCTATAGTGGATTTCCACCGGCCACATGAGCAAACAAAACGCAGTTGATTTAGTTTTGGTATTCAAAATGGATACTTCACAATGGTCATTCGAAATTTCGAAAAATTCACTTCAGCACCCTGTATAATTCAAAATATTGTGTTCAGAGCGTTGATAATGGGCTTATATCACAAAAAAAAATTATTTTATAATTCGATAGAGCTCACCCAAACTAGCTCACCACCGCAAACCGTTTCCTGCTGTGAGCTCCCTACGTTTTATAAAAAATTATTGAAATCCCCGATTTTTCGGACCTCTAAAAACGAGCGGATGATGTGACGTCGAAACCCTAATACTAAAACAAGAGTATTCCAGACAGAGATGAATGATACATGATTTCTGACAGAATGAATTAGTGCGAGATCACAGTTGAAAGAACAGTTGCCTCAGTCTCCGTCGAGCGTTTGGTATTTTTTTTAACTATGGCGAGATGAGGTTTCTACGTCATAAGAGGGTCAGTTTTCAGAAGGTACTATTATTCATGTCCAAAAATAAAACATTCCAGTAAATTTTTCGATCGAATTATGTCGTCAATCATTATTTATGTATAAATGGATCATTATAAATATGGTTTGAGTTAAAAGTTCTACTAAGGTGTACACGCCCATTGGGTCATCTGATCAGCATCATAAATCGAGAAATTCTAGGAAATTCACGGAAAGCCAATTTCCCCCCTTGTTACGGTGCAGGGTCCGGACAAATGAGATGTACCTATTATCATGATGAATGACAATTAAAAAGGTTAGGTTGGTTTTCTCGTTTTATTATGTTAAATGATAATTGAAACGTTGAGTTTTGTTTTCTCTGAGAATTGATAAGATTGAAGTGATTGTTACACAAGAGATAAGATAAACAAGGTGAATCTAATTGATTTTGATAATGATCATGCAAAATGCCAGATGAGACGAAAAGAATCTGTGAATACAAACCCACTTTTCAAAAATATTGGACTATGGAGTTACAAAAAATAAGAGTTATTTCAAACACCTCCTAGAGCAGAAATGAAGCTTTTGCGGATTTATTTTTATTTTTAAGAGATCTGACCTGAAGTTTGGCGGATGAAAACTTCAACACCCTATAAAATTAAATGCAACTGCCAAATCACTATAAATTCAACCAGAGAAGAAGAAATTGTACCTAAGTGAAATCATCAAAAACCTATTGAATTATTGTTCGTTGATAATTGTACATTCTCAGTATGCTGAATACTAATTATGTAGCAGTAGACAATTATTTTATATTCAGAAATATGATGGCTATAATTCAAAAGGACGCAATTTTGCCGAAAGGGAATGTTGGGACCACCTGAATAGATAACATTCATTATATGTGTGTACACGACTATACTTTCTCTATGACTGATCAGTTGGAGTTGGATTGCTTGAATGTAAGGTATTCTCACCAGTATGCTTCACAGCTATTTTGGAAACAACCTGTATAATAGTTACAGGAGAAACAAATGCATATTTTTTCAAGGCATGTTCAAATTTCAATAGGGTATTGGTTCTTGAACAAGTGTAAATAAAAGCATATATCTAAAGAAATGTCCAAATAGGTTGAAGGTAAAAATACAAAGTATAAAGAACATCATTATACTGAAAAGACATATTCTCAGACATATTATGAACATGAAAAATGGGATATAAATATACAGGGTGTCCCTCCGGGAAGTGTATCGATCAATATATAGAAAACCATAGGTGGGCTGAATTTAAGAATAAGTGCTATCCGGCTAAAATATTTTGAAGATTGTGGCCCTTCCGGTTGTTCCGGAAGTAGACCCTAACTTCGGTATTTTAAATGGAACACCCTGTATATTATCAAGGTTTTAGATTTTACGCATGATTCTGAACATATTTTATGTAAAATGTCCTATATCCAAGTCTAACAGTTTTCGAAATATTTCAAATTTCAAGTTGAAAATTGCGTTTGCAGACCGAAAAATATTTTTTCTACAAACGTCAAAAAATGACAAGGTTCGCGCATTGATAACAAACTGCGAAGTGATACTTTTTTTCAGTTTCCTACGTTACCATGATAACTTGCACATAACAATGCGCGAAGTAAAACAGTGCGCGAAGTACCTACTTCGCGCATTGTAATGTAAAATTAATGAGATATTTATATTTCAACTATAATATGGTCCTCAATCGAGCAAAAATCCATGAAATCATTTATTTCTGAATGTTCAACAATAACTTTTGTATTATCTCTTGAGCGCACGAAAGGAAATTCGTATTATGTTCGTGGTACATCGTGCGTACCTAGGGAGGATAGGGGGGGCCTTCAAAGCCAGTTCAAGACTATTTTTTATATCTAGCTAAGCATATTTTTACTGTAGAACTATATTTTCTGACGTTTGTAGAAAAAATGTTGTTTGCAACTCGAGCGCGAAATACTTTGGTCATCTCGACTATTTTTTTAACTCGGCTACGCCTCGTTAAAAAAATCAGATCTCGATCACCAAAGTAGCATTTCGCGCTCTAGATACAAAAATAACTATTTTTAAATTCTGGACATGCATCATTTATCTTCGATTGTGTATCGATTTATTCGTAGGAGAGGACCCAGTTCAGTAGAATTTCGATATCAATTTGATTACAGCTATACAGGGCGTTCACCAGAGAATGATATAGATCTGGTTGAAAAAATTATTGTAAGTCGATTTTTTCAAAGAAAACCCCCCAATTTTAAATTCTCAATTGATTCGGCATCGAAAATGAAGCTAACTTTGAATTGTTATCTATACCTACACTCAACAGTTTTCGAAATATTGGCGGATTAACATGTCTCAGTTCCAGAAAATCTCATATTATTGAGTTTACTTATTCTTAGTTGGCCATGGCGCCCGCAGTTGCTTTGGAAACAAGCAACTGTCATTGTAATCAATCATACCGGCTCCTTTGAATCATTCAAATGAAGATTATTTAAGTCTATTGATTATTTATGGCGAATGCAATGGGGTTATCTCAAGAACATGCAATATATTTGCTATTCGGTATCGGCAGAAGCCATCACTAAATACTGTTGCATTGACGGTTTCAAAGTTTTTGACATTTTCTATAATTCGTTCAACAGTATTATTCATTACAACTGAAAGCAATTTTTTGAGTTATGAAAAATGTTTTCATCATAAATCCTAAAAATGACACAACACAAATCCATCACAAATCATATATGTGCTGTCACTGTCATGTGTGAATTAGAGCGATTCAAATAACCATGACTTTCTGCATGGAAACATTTTTTGACAAATCGCAACGATTTCAGCTATGATGGGCAATAGGATATGATTTATTATGTAGATCAGCTCAATGATTGTTCAATGGTATCATCTGCTATGTTCATAAGGTTTGAATATTTCAAAACAGTTTAATAAATACTGTATTTTCAATATCTACTTGTAATATATTATCAGTATACTTCCTAACTTCATGCAGCCGCGGGGGTACAAACTTCTATCTCAAAATTACTCTCTCAAATTCTTGCTCGGTTTTTGTATTTATTCACAATTTCATCTGGAATTTTAATGCAGGTTTCATTCTCAATATCACAGTTTTAGTAATATTATTAACAATGCTGAATATACATGGTGAAGGGCATTTCACCAATGGAAATGAAAATCTGAATTAAAAAAAGGTGTTCACATTTCAGTGTTAGTAGTGAAAAAAATATTATAAAAAACTGGGGTGTATATAATGTACTATTTAGTGATGTTTGTCCTCTGTTGTTTCCTCAATTGGTGGAGCAACAACAATGCAACAATATGAAAAATATCAATATTGAAAATCAGAATATCAAAACACGGGAATTAAAACAATCAAAGAACATCCATGAACAAACTGGACATTGAAATACTCATTCTTCCAAGTTTCAACAAATCTTTAGACACAGCTTACCAAACAAGAAAAGAAAAAGGCCAAGAATTTCATCACCACTTTTATTAAATCCTAATATACAAAATTCAATGGGGACAATCCTGAAGGATTTCCTTCTACATCTTTTACGAATATAATAACCTTTCCAGATACCAACTAAACCCTTGCAGAGGCGCAAAAACTGTACGCAGCAAATCCCTAGAGATCGGCGACGACGGCCTTCGGGGGGCCCCCCAAACCGAGGGCCCCCCTCGGCCTGCCAACAGCCGCACGCCTCCTGAATTATAAACGCCTGGCAATGTCAACCTCAACTAAAATCTACACTAGACGGATAAATAGCAAATTAAAATCAATTGATTAGTATGTGTATATATTATAAAAATTGACCACTCGGAGAGTTCGTGATACAGGGTGCTATGCACGGCGCCGTCCTAAAGAGGCAAAATGGCGCACAATATTCGCAAGTATACGTCGCAGATTCAGCATAGAAAGCTAATACTCACACCATAAGACCTTCAGGAGGAACGTCGATCGGAACACACTGACACTATTCCGGTAATATTTTTATATTAGATCGGCCACGTTCATCGGCATCTCGTCAATCTTGGTATTGTAAAACTGCTCAATGTCCTTAAGCGTACGTTTGTCGTCCTCTGTCACGAAATTTATTGCTACCCCCTTACGACCGAATCGCCCGCCCCTTCCAATCCTGAAAAACAAATTTTACTCCTACATCAATAGGAAAATAAAGTTTATAGACATTTTTTCGTTTTTATTATTCAGAGAATAAGATCAACATCAGCACTCTCAGCGATCTTGGTGGAAAAGTGTCATCATATCTAAATTGAGGAGACCGTTAATAGGAAATTAATGGAAACACCTCCCCATGCAAATATTGCGAAAGAAAAAAGTAAGAAAAACGCCGTTTGGCAAAAATGCTGGAACTAGAACCACCATATTTCGGTCAAGGGATGAGTCACCCCGTCGGCGCGACACACCCCAACTTTGAAATGTCAAATGGCACTACCTCTTTGTGATGCCTCAAATAAATAGTCTCAGTCAGTAGTATTCACCTGTACAAGACTTTTTCTACCCACTACAGGGTGTACGAAAAATTTAAAGTTGAATAAAATAAAATGAATTGTGTTAAAAGGATATTTTATTTGATCAGATGTTCAAAATGCATTCCATTCTGTTGTGAGCAATAGTATAATCGATGCTCAAATACCATTCTAACATTTTGGAACACATCTCTTGGAATATATCGGCATTCTGCATTTTATTTTATTCGACTTTGTTTTCCGTTCACCCTGTAGTGGGTGGAAAATAAGTCTTGAACAGGTGAATACTACTGACTGAGACCGTTCATTTGAGGTATCACAAAAGAGGTAGTGCCATTTGACATTTCAAAGATGGAGTGTGTCGCGCCGACGGGGTGACTCATTCCTTTACTGAAGTATGGTGGTTCTAGTTCCCCCTAACTCTGTAGCATTTGTGCCAAACGGCGTTTTCCTAACTTTTTTATTTAGAGAGATATTCGCATTGAAAGTTTTCATATTTAGACCCTCGACTTTATGTTTTTCGTACACCCTGTAGTGGGTGGAAAAAAAGTCTTGTACAGGTGAATACTACTGACTGAGACCGTTCATTTGAGGTATCACAAAAGAGGTAGTGCCATTTGACATTTCAAAGTTGGGGTGTGTCGCGCCGACAGGGTGACTCATCCCTTCACTGAAATATGGTGGTTCTAGTTCTTCCTGACACTTTAGCATTTGTGCCAAGCGGCGTTTTTCTAACTTTTTTATTTCGCGAGATATTCGCATTGAAAGTTTTCAAATTTACACCCTGTATAAACAAAGATGGACTGGGCTATATACATTTTCATGTGAAGTCATCAATGGAACAGTCTATTTTGATGTTGCCATATTTCATTCTTGATGAGTCAAATTTCAGGACAATTTTCGTGTTTTAGTATATACAGTGTGACCCACTTCTAATGGCAACCCCCCTGTATCTTGAGTAATCGTTGGGTAAGGATCCTGAAATTTGTTGGAGCGAGATATATACCAAAAATGCACTTTATGACCAAGTGGGTCATCTTCAGTGATATACACTGCTCGCCAACAGCCATAGAACCACCCCAATTTCCAGAAAATGATATTAGGAGTCAAAATAGGTCGAAAAATCACTTCAGATTCGGAATCAGGACGCCCAATTCTCAAACTATTCATATTTTTCCTGGAAAATTTTCAGTTCTGAAAAATTTAATTTTGTCCCACTTTTTACGGCAGCACTCTCGTATCCTATGTAATTGACTTCATCTTTGTAATTTTCCTACCTCCTGCAAATTTCAGAACCCTACCTCAATAGTTACGTGAGATACGGGGGTAAGCTTCCATGAGAAGTGGGACAAATTTTAATTTTTACGAAGTTTGTAATTATGATCCGATTTTATTCAAAATTTGTATCAGAGGGATTTCGGCATCGGAGATTATGATTTTATTTCTTCAAAATTGGGAAATATAAGATGGCGGATCCAATATGGCGGACGAGTTTTGTAATTATGGTCCGATTCTATTAAAAAAATAGTATCTGGGGGATTTTGAGGTCGGAGATTATGATTCCTTTGTAAAAATTATGGCTGACAAGCTCGCTGACAAGCTTTGAATTTAGGACCCGATTCTATTCATAATCGGTATCTTGGGGTTTTCGGGGTCCGAGATTATGATTATTTTGTCAAAATTTGGAAATGCAAGATGGCGGCTCCAATATGGCGGGCGAGTTTTGTAATTACGGTCCGATTCTATTCAAAATTGACATCTTGAGGTTTTCGGACTCGGAGAGAAAATAAATTCCAACACCTACCTCCTCTCCCTATCCTCCCCTAGGTACATACGACGTGAACATTATAGAAATTTCCTTTAGTGCGCTCCAAGAGATTAAAAAAAGGATATGAATGAAAGCACCTCCTACTACAGGGGAGGCATAACTATCAAACTGTGTTACAGTTCCTGAGCAATACATCATCAATGTATAGAAATACCAAAAAAAAATTGAATAATAATAAACATAAATGAACATCTTTCATGTGGGCCATTTTTGTCATATCTGAAATGGTTACAGAATAGATAAAAGGGTGTGGAAAAGACGTGCAATCAATATCAACAACTTTAGATTTTATGTCGGATAGCGGTGTATATATAGGGTGTCCCGAAATTATAAAGAAAGATTTCAACTGCAGATTATAGGAACAAAAACAGTAAAAAAGTTTATACAGAGTGTTTCAGAGTAAGTTTTTTTTTTATACATCTTATTGGAAACGCTTAAGCCAATTTGAATGAAATTGTCATGGTTTATCAACACAATCATCACATTTACTGGACCAATTAGATTTGATTCAGAAATTCCAGAAAGGTACCCAAAGTCGTCTCTTTTTTTGGAAAACAAAATGGCGGATGATGAATGTTTACAACTCATACCAGAATTTTTTTTTGACTAGATGGCGTCCAGTCACCATTTTGAAAGATAGATAATTTTTTATCAGAACAAAAATGTAGTACTTGAACTACCATTGGAGCAGGAAATAATAAAGAAATTACCCGCCGTTCGAGAATTATTCAGGAGGTGGTTACTTTAGTCCACTACAAGAAAATCATAGAAAAAAATGTATTCTTCTTCAGTTATTATCAAGAACTTTTTTTGGATATTTGCAACCATAATGAATAATGCTCAAGATGGCGGCTGTAGTACAGCATGTACGAGTGTTGATTTTTGGTATGCTGCTATTGAGCACACTACAACTAGGCATTTACGTCATTTTTCTAGATAAAAACAAACCTCAAGTACCCTGATCTTGAATTGAAATCATGTGAACTTGTGAACATTGAAAAGATAAGATAATAGATACAAAGAATTTATTACACGAAACTTTTCAATGAAAATCTCTACATTATAATAATTTCTTGACATCATTGAAACACCTCTAGAAAGTTAGTGATATTTTACTTTACTAGATATACTTCTACCGAGAAATCTTGGTCATAAACTTGACAAGCCAAGACAGCACATTTTGTCGGCAAACTCGGGATACGTCGAACAAATCTCTACCAAAGCTCGTTCGTCTATTTGAAATAAAGCAGCAAATGATTCACGAGAAAGAAATCCATACATATTAGCAAGAGTTCACTTTCACTCTATGGAGAAATGAAGAAGTGTTGTTAGTTTTTATTGAGGAAATAAATTGAAAAAAAATCTATTCAATGTATTTTTGAAAACAAGTTGAAAAATGCACTATTGGAAGTGCTGTGATAGTATTCTGATAATTCAATGTTGAAATAATGAATCAACAAAACGGGATTTCATGAATATTTATTATTGTCCATACTGATATTCAGCCTATTCCAAAGTTTACTGAATAAATTAAGTGGGTTCACATGATAGGTTCCTTTATTGGTATGCATCAACATGCATTTTCTGGTAATTCCATGAAGTATTGCATATACAAATAGTAGCGGTCAGAAGACAAGACCCCAATTCAAAAAATAATACTGCTCCAAACTCCATGAATTCTTTTTGATGAGTCTACCAAGGGTCAATTTGGTGAGATATATGAAATGAATAACCCATTATGTTGTTTTTAAAACTGTGTTTTTATGAAACAAAAACTATAATAACGAAAGTTTTCAAGGAATTCACATGACTGGATTGTAAATGTTGTCTACATTTTCTTGGGTCTTGGATAAAGATACGATAATTGGCCGGCCTATGAGAACATTGCAATTGGATGATACAAAATACAATAATCGGCCACTCCACTATTGTATATTTATCGGCCCATAAATATAAGATGATAGACCAATGAAATATTCGGCTGATGATGAAAATACAGTGATTGGTCGAAAATATGATAATTGGCCAATACAAATTTTATGGAATAAAAATTCAAGGATTGGATGATGAAAATATAATAATTTTTCGAATTCCATGAAAATACCATAATCGGCATCTCCACTTTGGGGCGTTAAAAATACAAGAATTGGCCAATATGAATTCAATAATTGGCCCATAAAAATAAAGTGATTAGGCGATAAAAATACGAAAATTGGCCGTTAAAAACACGATAATTGGTTGATGAAAATACCAAATTCGGCCGATAAAAATATAGGGCAACTTTCGATGAAAAATACGATAATCAGAATCTCTATCCATCACATTTTTATGGGCCAATGAAAATATAACTGGCCAATATTTATATACGATACGATTATTGGCCAATAAAAATACGGTCATTGGCCAATAACAATATGATGATTGGCCAATAAAAATACGATAATTGGTCCATTATATACGATAATTGGCCAATTAAAATACGGTAATTGGCCAATTAAAATACGCTAATTGGACAATTGAACAAGATTATTGGTCAATTGATATACGATAATAGGTCAATTAAAATATGATAATTGGCCATTAAAAATACGATAATTGGTTAATAAAAATACAATTATTGGCCAATGGTAATACCATAATTGGCCAATTGAAATACCATAATTGGCCACTTAAAACAACATAATTGGCCAATTGAAATACGATAATTGGCCAATTAAAATACAATTGGCCAATAAAAATACGGTCTTTAGCCGATAAAAATACGGTCTTTGACCGATAAAAATACGGTCTTTGGCCAATAAGAATATGATAATTGGCTAATAAAAATACGATAATTGGTCAATACAAATACCAACATTGGCCAATAAAAATACGAACATTGGCCCATAAAATACCATTATTGGCCAATTAAAATACGATAATTGGTCAATTGAAATACGATAATTGGCCAATACAAATACGAAATTTGGCCCATAAAAATACCATTATTGGTCAATAAAATTACGATAATTGGCCAATTAAAATACGATAATTGGCCAATTAGAATACGTAAATTGGCCAATTAAAATACGTAAATTGGCCAATTAATATACGTGAATTGGCCAATACAAATACGGTCTTTGGCCAATGAGAATATGATAATTGGCTAATAAAAATACGGTCTTTGGCCAATAAAAATACGGTCTTTGGCTAATAAAAATACGATAATTGGCCAATACAAATACAAACATTGGCCCACAAAAATACGGCCATGGGCCCATAAAATACCATTATTGGCCAATTAAAATACGATAATTGGTCAATTGAATTACGATAATTGGTCAATTGAAATACGATAATTGGCCAATACAAATATGAAAATTGGCCCATGAAAATACCATTTGTGGCCAATTAAAATACGATAATTGGTCAACTAAAATATGATAATTGGTCAATTAAAATACAATATTTGGCCAATAAAAATACGGTCATTGGCAATCAATAACAGCGACAGTGATAAAAATTTGCAAAACTTGGACAACAAAACTCACCTGTGAATGTAATTTTCTCTATTTGAAGGTAAATCATAGTTGATTACTAGGGAAACTTGCTGTACATCAATACCACGGGCCAACAAGTCAGTGGTAATGAGCACCCTAGAGGACCCAGTCCTGAACTGTCTCATGATCACATCTCTTTCTCTCTGCTCCATATCCCCATGCATGGCAGAAACAGTGAAGTCTCTTTTGTGCATGCTCTCAGTGAGCCAGTCAACCTTGCGACGAGTATTACAGAAGATTACAGCCTGCGTAATTGAAAGAGTATCATAGAGATCACACAGCGTCTCCAACTTCCAGTCCTCCCGCTCCACATAAACAAAGAACTGCTTTATACCCTCCAAGGTGAGCTCTTCCTTCTTGACCAATATTCTCACAGGATTACGCATGAAGGATTTAGTAACGTCTAGCACATCTGTTGGCATGGTGGCAGAGAGCAGAATGACCTGCACATCAGAACTCAACATTTTGAAGACATCATGAATCTGATCTTTGAATCCTCTGGACAACATCTCATCAGCTTCATCCAGAACAAACATCTTGATATTACTTGTTCTCAATGCCCTACGTGTTATCATGTCATATACTCTACCAGGGGTTCCTACCACCACATGCATCCCTGTCTCCAGTTTTCTCATGTCTTCTCTTACATTGGTGCCCCCAATGCAAGCATGGCACTGTGCACTCATGAAATCTCCTAAAGCAATAACCACTTTCTGAATTTGTTGGGCCAATTCACGGGTTGGTGCCAGAATAAGAGCCTGGCACTCCCTTACTGAAGTATCTATTTGTTGCAAAATGGAAATTGAAAATGTTGCAGTCTTTCCAGTACCGGATTGTGCCTGAGCTATAACATCATGACCTTTAACACAAGGAATGATGGCTCTCTGTTGGATAGCAGAAGGTTTCTCAAAACCATAAGCATAAATTCCCCTGAGAAGTTCTTCTTTTAGATTCATGTCATCAAAGTTATCAGTGACTTCTTCCCAGTTGGATTCAATGATGCCATCAGGTTCCATGCCTGGAGGGCCATCATATACTTGTGGTTCTTTTTCATCATTAGCAGGACCATTCTTGTCCCACTCTTCAGTACTACAAAAAGAGAATTAAGAATAACTTTTAAATATGCTCATTCATAACCTTCAAACTGAATGAGTCATGTCAAGCATATGCCACTTGTGTTAAAAATTCAATAAATCCTTTGAATCCATGAATTACAATAATTACTGTAAAATTTCTAGTAACTAGAGGCTAGAATTCGCGATTATTATATAATGCATAGACAATAAATTCACAAAATATGAATGATGCCTGTTTTCACACTATAGCAAAATTTTGCATCCTAGTCAACGCCCAGATGATCCATCTATTTTTAATCAGGCATCCAATCTATTCTAACAATATAACGAAAAAATGGGCTATATTTAAATGAGCGTTAAAATGAAAAATTCAATACAATCCAACATTTCTTCTCAATGCGCCATGTTGGCGAAATGGTCGTGGAACGTTCACGCCGAAAATTCACATTGAATTTGATAAAAGTACACAGGCCACAGTGTCCGATAACACTGAAAAATATATCAAACATCTTGTAAGATGTTTCTACTTACTATTTGACAATAAACAGGGGTTATTTTATTAATAAAAAACAAAACTTACCGTGAATCTGTTACAGACATGTCTACACTCCGCGTTTTGCTAAACGGAAAAGGCTAGCTCTTTTAGGAGGGGGAGGTTAAATTTATGTTCTTCCAAGGACGAAATTGAACTCTCGTGTCAAGTGAAGTTATATGCTGTTCATGAACCGAATCAAATTGGCTTTGGGAGAATTTCAAAATTCAGGCTTTCTTAAAGTTGTCCTTATTTTAGTTTTTTTCGAATGAAATCTAAAATATTTGATAGTATTAGGGCGGCAAAACATGGCCGCTTTGCAGTTTGCTTTATTTCCGGTACTTCTGTCAGTCTGTCAGAATAGCCGCCAAAATTCAAAGTACGAAAAATTTTAATTAATGAATCGAAAAAATGGGTATTGAACTTCTACTTGTTAATTTTGACAAATAATGATCTATTCCACAAGTTGACTCTTGCCGACTCGATTTCTAGAGATCAAATTTTCAATAATGTCAGTGCAGAGGAATGGTAGAACTACGAGGACTACTCAATAATATTTTCGTTTCGAAGTATTTCGAAGTTAATATGAAGCCAAAAGTAAAAAAGTTGGTTGCTAGTAAAAGTTGAAGCATAAAAAAATTAAGCAAGAAGTGAAAGCTGTGGTGAACGTGAGTAAGGAGTAATAATCTCGGAGTAATGTTGTGCTGGTTGTGAAGTATGCTCCAAAGATTGATAAACTAAAAGGTGGCCTCAAAATTGACGTCACTCTTTCTGTGTGTGATTGTTGGATATTTGTGTCATAGTGTTGAAATCTCGATTGAATAGGCAACCTGGTGCGCATGGTTTGAAATTATGGTTGCACATAAACAAAACTGTGAAAGCAGCGTTCACAACCAAACCTTTTACGTTTTGCTTTCAACGTTTCGCATTCTGATTGGTGAAGCTGAATCTGGAATTGCGTTGCAAGATGCCATTATGGATGAGAATTACACAATGTAGGAAATGGTAACAATAATCTATACTATAAATACTCAAGCTATTCTCACACCACACCTTAATGTCCTACCTCAAACCTACCCAATATTTGCCAGGTTTAGGATTGACTCTTCTCTCTGAGGAGCAATTTTACGTCTCCACCAGTTCTCATGAATATCATCCGTAATTTAATTTATATTATTGTTGTGATCATTTCACTTCATTTCAGGATGAAGCACAAGTGACAGAACCGAGTCAACTGAGAGAAGCCGTAAAAACTCACGTTGACGTTTTTTGTTGAAATGACTGCTTTTGATTCAGTTTAATTCACGTTGAATTTCAGATTCCGCTTTACCAATCAGAATACGAAACGTGCAAAGCAAATAAACGTAAAAAGTTTATTTGTGAACCCCGCTGGAATCGCTGGGTAACGTTCAACGTTCAACCCGTTCAACGAGAGCCTAAAATTCTCGAACCATTCCCAAACCTCATTACCAAATTGGTCACATGGACGCATGCGCATTCGCTCGTAGAAAAACTTAGGATAGCCTTGGAATCTCGAGAGAAAGGAAAAACATCCTTGAAAGCCCAAATCACTACACAAATGATAACAGTGCACTGACGCCATGCTATTAGTGGACCAGAATAAAACTGTCTGGTCAAACTTAGCCTCCACAATTTAATTCCGAAAAATAATCATAAAAAACACGAATCTCAACATATCACATGATGGGAATGGTTCGAAAGATTTAGGCACTTCTCGTTCAACGAACATAAGTGCGATCCATGTGCGATCTAGACCTTCAGTGCGATCACTGTAGTTGACGTTTATCGTTTAGACTTACTGTCAGCTGTTGTATTCAGCTGTCAAAATGTCAGAGTAGTCTGTCAATATTGTCAAGAACTTATAAAAATATGACTGAAGACTGGTACCGTGGTACGTGGAGTTTTGAACGTGGATAGTATTTTCACTTTTTAAAATCAAGGGTGAAAATCTTGTTTCACAAATGACTTAAATATTAACTCTTGAAGATTGAAATTAATTCTGGGAGATTCAAATGAATTATTGAGTGCATCATCTAGAGAAAAATTGTATTTATGGTAAACTATCCCAATGGCTACTTATGAAGAATACATTCAGCAAAACGAAGATAGGGATGGAATTAGATTTACATGGAATGTATGGCCTTCTAGTAGGATTGAAGCAACACGTTTAGTGGTTCCTTTGGCCTGTTTATATCAGCCTATCAAAGAACGCCTGGATCTTCCAGCTATTCAGTATGATCCAGTATTGTGCACACGAAATAATTGCCGAGCTATTCTGAACCCTTTGTGTCAAGTAGATTATCGAGCAAAGCTATGGGTCTGCAATTTCTGCTTCCAGAGAAATCCCGTGAGTATTCTTTCCACTATTTCCATTCAGCTGCTCATGCCTTGCTGTGTGTAGGTACCTATCAAATCATGCTATTATGTTGTTATTCCTTGCTCTATATTTTTCATGCTATGTAGAAATAATTTTCTTTATAAATGATCCTCTATTGATTGCAAATTCTCTAGTGTCTCAGTGGCTAGCTCAGTGTAGACCATGGGAAACTGCAAATTAGCTGAGCACCCCATTTAACACAGTAGCTAGGTATATGAAAATGAGAAATTTGTGAATGTTAATTAATGAAAGTGTATAGACTGCTGACTAGTTGCCAATCTAAAATTATTACCAATTTTAAGGAAGAAAAAACATGATTTGAAAAAATAACTGAAAAAATTAGATATACTTACACAAACACACTAACCTATTGGAGAAACAAAAACCTGATCAAAAAAACTTGTGAACTAACAACTAACAATGGAGGAAGGAAAAACCGGGAAAAACTAGATTATAAAAAAATATATATAAAAAGAAAGTGATGTATATACTCAACCCAAACAGACTAACACATTAGAGAAACAAAAATATGATGAAAAAAAATTTGAAAAATAAAATAAAAGTAAACTATTCCATGTGTGATTTGAACACAGGACCACAGGATTGATAAGAGCATGTCTAACCACTGAGCTAGGTACTAAGGGTCTTGTATCTTTCTGTTGTACAGAAAGAATGTATAGTTTGCTGACTGGTCACAGCCTATACACTTTCTTAATTGATTGACCATTAGTGGAACTAAAATGGCAACATCATACCTATTCACTACAACTAGATTCTAGAGCCTCATATATTATTATTGAACATTGATTATTACATGATATGACATATTCAATGATCCTGAGTAGGTTTATCTGATATCAGTAAATTGTTCATGGGTTTGTAGGTATTTCTGTGGTATCCATTGAATTACAAGTGGTTTAAATATTCTTGAATCAGAAATAATGTTTGATCATCCTGTACATACTAGTAGGTATGAGTTTTTTTTCAGTTATCAATATCAATCTGAGTTCATGTTCATCAATGTTGAGACTAGGTACCTACTGAGGTATGGGCCTGTGCTAATACTGAGACTGAGATACCAACCTAAATTTACCATAACTATTCATCAGTAACTTTGATTTCAATTTATGTCCAACCAAGTGTCCAACTTGTTGTTCAATATACTGTGGTAAATTTCCCCAATCTCTGCCCATACTGAACTGGTAAAACTGCATTTATCATGTGATGGTTTTTTTTGCAATTTTTTTTTTGTACTTATGTATTTTTGTCTGAAAAACACGAATTTGATAATGAAAATGTGAACAAACTACTATTTATCCAGATATTTCAAGAAAAAGTTCGAAAATTTCTTATTCTTTTTCCCCTTATGTTGGATGCATTTACAGCTACTTACTCTTCTTATTTTGTCATTGGACACTTTATATACTCATGATCATCATGATGCTGATCATGATGTACTTCAATGACACATTTTTATATAGAAAATTCAACAGGTAATATGATTTTTATGGAGAGTTTTTCATATTCAGTGAACAAGCATACCAGATAATGGCTGATTGATCAATAGTCAATCCACATAGCAGATGTCAAATGTCAACAGATTCCTTTTGAATTACATTACACATGCCATTATTTCAAATGATATTCTTCCTTCCTTTCACTAAATATGGATAAATCACAAGAAAATCATATTTATAGTTCTCATATAATAGAAAAAAATGTGTCATACATTGTGATGTATATAAATTGTCCAATGATGAAAAAAGAAAGGCAAATTGTTCTAAATGCAATCCAGAAGAGAGGCGGAAAAGAAGGTGTAACTTCATAGTGAAATATCTTAATAAATAATGTTTTGTTCATATTTTCATTATCAAATTCGTCTTTTTTAGTCAAAAATACATAAGCACAAAAAAAATTTCAAAAAAAACCATTGCATGATAAATGCAGTTTTACCAAAAATCCTACCTATTCTAAGTGTAATTGCATCATAAAATACCTGAAATGCTGATATTATAGTTAGATAACTGTTGGATACAAACCAATACATTAGAAAGGGTACACAATTGATAAGAATACCCAATAACGACCTGTTATTAGGATATTTCAAGTAGAGTATGTGGAAATGCAGGCAAAACTCTGTTAAAACAGGAAAGAACTTTCTGTCTGAAAACGTAGCTTTTAATTCAAAAATTACTGACATTCAATGTCTAACTTCAAACGAACCAACATACAGAGTGAAATATTCTCGAAACATTTGGAATTCCTTTCATTCTTCCGCCAAGGAGATTACTACTCTGGTAGAGTACAATTATTATAAATCCAACTTCTTAGGTTTGTTCACTTTTCTTCCTGATCTGGTGAACTTGATTGCTTCGTCATTATTCGTTGTCGATGTTGGTTCTGATTCATTGCATTTACTATTTTGCAACAATTCCTGATCTTCATTACCCATTTCCAATGGATATAACTTTTGGATGGGGCGTAATACTTGACCTGAAGATGTTCTCAGTCTCACAACTCTGATGTTTCCATCTTTACCAGGAATCGTTTCTACCACTCGTGCTAGTGGCCAATTTAGCCTTTTCGTATTGTCGTTTTCAATTAAAACGATATCTCCAACTTTGATTGGTTTGTTAAATTTCCTTCTATCTTGACGTAAAATTAATTGTCCCATGTATTCACTTCGGAATCGTTTCTGCAAATCCGTTTTCAACTTGTTTTTGTACACTTGCCTCCGTTGGAGATGTGTGGCTTCGATGTTGTCCAGATCTATTACACCGGTCTCTTGAATGTCTTGAAGAAACATCTTTGGTGTTAATGGAACCAAATCTGAGATATCTTCGGAGACATAAGTAAGTGGTCTTGAATTGATCAGAGCTTCACAATCGCATAAAACAGTTTCAAGTTCTTCGTATCTCAGACATGCTTTTCTTAGGACTTTGACTAGAGTTCTTTTTATGATGCGAATTAGTGTTTCCCACCAGCCGCCCCACCATGCGGCAGTTGGAGGATTGAACTTCCATTCGATCCTCTCCAAATTGTAAAATTCATGGAGCTCGTTCCAGTTCAGTGATTCCAAGGCGTTCTGACATCCAGTGAAGTTGGTTTGGTTGTCAGAATAAATCGTTGTAGGTCTTCCACGTCTCGCTATGAACCTTCGGAAAGCTCGTGTGAAACTTTCAATGTTCAGTGATGTCACAAGTTCCAGATGCACAGCTCGATAAATGGCACAGGTAAAAATTACAACCCAAACTTTAACTTGTCTTCTCAGAAATAGAGGTCCAAAAAGATCAATTCCTGTAACTTCGAATATGGCAGCATCTTTTACTCGATTTCTTGGTAGAGATATGGGTGGAGTATTCATTCGTTTTGAGTCGAATCTTTTACAACTACCACATTTCGATATAACATATTTCACAGTCTTTCTTCCTCCAATAATCCAGTAGGACTCTCTCAGGGAACTCAAGAGAGTTTGAACACCAGCGTGACTCATTCTCCGATGAGTATCGAAAATTAGTCTACTCACAACTGGATGTTTAGCTGGCAGAATTATGGGGTAACGGAAGTTTTCAGTGTCACATCGTTCGGTAATTTTAGTTTTTACTCTCAAGATATCATTGTCATCTTTGAATGGTATGATGGATGATATCTGTGCCAACAAATCATCTGTTAAACTTTCTTGCTGTACACACTTCAGCAAATTGAGTTGTGCTTCTTGCAATTCTGCAATTTGTAAAATGGTGTTTTTCCTTTGACTGTTTGGATTTCTGACATTATAGAAGAATCTTTTGATCCAACAAATGAGTCTGACTATCTGCTCGAATTTGGAAAATTTTCTGTAAGCCCAAGAAAAATCAATCTTGCTGTGTGACAGCAATGTAGTGACAGTTTTCTTTTTCTCTTCCATAATTTCCTCTTCGTCAATTTTGTAATTTTGTTGTGGCCAAAATTGTTGTCCTTCTCTCAACCAATTCGGACCCTCCCACCAACAAGATTTTAGCAGCTGTGTTGCAGTACACCCTCTGGATGGTAAATCAGCTGGGTTTATGATTCCAGGCACAAAATTCCAGTCAACAATCTTGGTCAGCTTGCGAATTTCTTCAACACGGTTCCATACAAATGGTTTCCAATTTTCCTTCATCTTTATCCAAGAAAGGACAGCTGTGGAATCAGTCCAAAAATAGGTAGGCATATCTTGATCTTTGAAAATTTCTCTGACAGTAGCGAAGAGTCTGGCAGCAATGGTAGCAGCCAGAAGCTCAAGTCTAGGGATCGAAATTTTCTTGGTAGGTGAAACACGGGACTTTGCTTGTACAAGTTGGAGAGAGATATCTGTATTTGTTTCACACCTAATAAAAATGGCAACTGCGTAGGCATCTTTACTCGCATCAGAGAACGTGTGGATACTTAGTTGACCTTTATGCGGTTTTTGTTTGAAAAACCATCTAGGGATGCTCATAGAAGAGAGGCAATTCAAATCGTTTAACCATAGCAAAAATGATTGTTTTATGTCTTCAGGAACTTCTGTTGTCCAATTCAACTGTATCATCCAGGTTTTTTGTAATAAAAGTTTTGGTAATAAAATAACAGGTGATACAATACCAAGTGGATCAAATATTCTATTAGTTACTGATAGAATCAACTTCTTCGTAATGGTACTCGTGTCAACTTGTTTCAAATTATTCAAACAGAGGTGGAGAGTGTCAACATTTCTATTCCAAGTCATTCCCAGGACAGAAGACATACATTTTTCGTCGTAAGTTGATGGATCGGATAACGTGTACTCCCACAGTCGTAGGTCGAACTGAGCTTCAGCGAAGATCTCTGTAGATTCTTTGATGAATTTGTGCAATTCTTCTTCGGTATCAAGGCTAGTGACACAGTTATCAACGTAAAAACAGTCCATCAGCTTCAAAATTGTATCTTTTTGTAGATTCTCACAATTTTCTCTCAGAACGTTGTTCAAATGA